CATAAACTACGTGTAAGACTATAAAATATACACACCCTCGTCGGCTTTAGCTCGTGCCAATTTCTCAGCAGCGAATTCCGTAGCCCATCTCTTTCGCAGCACAGTCATCTGCTCTTTGTAACTCTGCTTAGCACTATTGTAGTAGTTGTGTGGGAAAGTTTGCACTTGCACGTGTAGCTTCCCTGCTTTCGATAGCTTCATACTTTTCATAGGTTCGACGCCAGCAGGGATTCTGGATCTGACTCTTTCGTCGGGATGCACTATATATTGCACCACATTTCTACTGGAAGTATTGGTGCGCAATTGTATCCGCATGAGCGGTGCTGTATGTCCTTGACACAATATTGCTCTGAGTCTTAGCATAATGCCACAGTATTCAAGTGTCTGTGTAAGACTGAAGAGAATGACACTGTTAATAGTGAGTATGTATTCGAATCTATGCAGCGTGTGCCCGTGACACTGCGTACAAAAGTATTTCCTTTTCCTGGATACCGATGATTTGGTCTGTTTCATATACTCTAAACTATGTATTAGAACTTCAAATTTCCATGGCCGGTAACTTTATCCCATGCAATTCTATTTTTAGCTTTTGTTGTGGTGACTGGGCCACTCGGGTCTTAGGGCCACTCGGGTCTTGGGGACTGGGGTGGTGTTGACGACAAAGTCACAAATTATTATCAGTAAACATTCTTTGTCTTTTTTTTTAAACACTTGGAAAAAAACGACCAAATACTGATGTTGACTATTTGTTGCAGACTTGCACGAGTTGCAGCCAACAAATTCACAATTTCACCCGTCAGAGGTCTTGATCAGTTCTGATGTAGGTCCTGCCGGCTCATTAGCAATCCATTTCCTGCCGGGGCAATTCATTTCCTGCCGGGATAGTGTATTCTGGTCTCTTTTTTTAGTGGCGCTATTTAGTCAATAAAATTATCATTTTGCAACTGTTCGTCGGTGGCGTTCTTGCCGTCGTAGCCTATAGCATTCTCATTTGCAACAACTATAGATAGCGACGCTATTATCTTATCATACGTAGTCGAATATCTTTGGCCAATGCCTCAGGTCTTGAGTACACAAATGGGCACAGCGAGTCAGAAATACATAAAATATGCTATGGTTTTTGAACCAGTGAAAGCTGCGTACGCGATATTCGATAACACAAGCTCATAATGACAAAAGCCCCCGAAATAATTAAACTCTGCTTTCCTACACAACCACCTATTTTAGCGACTAAAGCCAGTCCTGTGATGAGTATTCCCCTCCCACATTCCTGATACTACATAAATGAAAACAGTATACCGCTTTACTTTATGGGTCAACTTAGGTATCATACCAAACCGATAGTTTTGTACCGACATAAAAAAACAAAGTAGATTAATCATGTTTTATTTTTGGCTGCCATCAGCTATAATATGTGCCAAATTTTGGTGTTCTCGATTCGTTTACTGACACTCGTTTTTCCATATATTGTGAATTATGCTGCTATTCTAAGTCATTGTTAATTATTTGTGTACCGGTATATTGTTATAGAGTTTGTGATAGGTGAAGATCTGTCCATAAACCCATTTACGCAGTTGGTAGCGCAGGCCTCTTCGTGAAGAAAGACGTTTTCTTCTTGAACATCGATGATATCGAAGATAGCGAATTCGAAGAATTGTTGCCTCTTGATAGCTTCTTAGTCAAATCGGGCAGACTTCGTTCCAGGCTGAACTGTACTGTGGCACTTGTCGCGAGTGCTAGTCTGTTAATCAAATGCGTCGCGGCTACATCGTTCGCCCCTTCAGCAGTCAGTTGTTGTAAAGTAAATAAACTCTCAGGGAATTGTGTTGCGCAGTACAATCTATGAAAGTATGAAATCAAACTTTCGGTGTCCTTGAGACGCACCAGTACACTGCCACTCTCGTCATTTGCCCCCGGAGCCAATCCGAACCTACGCTCTCTTCTATGTGAATCGAAAACAATCACTCCACTTTTTCCCAGGAAGGCAACCATCGTTGAGTGCTTATGCACAGTCAGCACGTACACAGTGACCTCGTTTTTGTTCACAACTAACGATCTGACCGCGTCCGCTATATCCATACCGTAGTCTTTGCCACAAAGTTGTCCCCAAAGGCAGGAAGGCGCTGCGCGGGCCGGACTTTCTTCTAGGTTGCAGATTTCATCAACCGCGGCCATATTCTGTACCATACCCTTCGAGTTTCTGGACTCGTTAATGTCTATCCAGTTTCCTTGTAGTTTGCACCCCTCTTCAATCAACGTACGCACACTCTCTTCTGTAGCAAACGCCTTGGCTGAACCCTCGCCCAGTGTTAGCAATACTGAACCAGCCAAAACTGCAATTGAAGTGCAGGCATATTTGGCACCAGAGTGTATGTCTACGAAGTCGTACTGTGTTGTAGGAAACATACTAATATTACTACCGCGCTCATCAAATTTTAAGGCAGAGCCTTTCTTACTCATCATCATATTTTCCTAAGAGTGAGGTATCACACAGTCGATTAATATAATTTCTCAATACGTGATTCCTATTATTACGACTCAGACTTGTTTATAGTGCAGACGAAATTCGGTGTGAGAACAGTTTTGAATGAAACCTACAAACCAAATTTTGGTCAGAGCCACCTGCAATAGATGATCACTTTTTGAGATGTATTCGTGCGCTAATACCTGTATTGCAGTATTGATGACAGGCAGTGTTTGAGAATCTTTAAGTTGGTTTCAGTGATTTTAAACAATGTGTGTACCAAGCTGCAACTAGTATGTAACTTGTATAAATATGTATGTGCATGTACGTATTTTAAAATATATATATATTATAGGCATTTGGTATGTAAATATTATAAATAATAATTTGAAATTTCGAACCATGCTCCGAACAACAAAAATGAAATTTTTTCCAATAAATATTTTGATTTTCTAGAAGAAGAAAAAAACTAAAGTATATAACAATAAACTCATAAAGAGCTTATGTCCGTCGTCACTACTCACTACTCACTCTCTATTGTTTATTTAGTAGGGACTAGAGAGACGTCAGTTTGACACACGGTCACGGAGTCACGGACTCAACGAACTCACGGGCTCGCACTCTCACTGTCTCACAGACTCGCGCGGTTGACGATCCTCAAAATCCAGTCCTCCTCATGGACTTTTTTTCCGACCACGAGCCCACGGCTCACGGCTCACGCACCACGGCAGATCACGGGCCACGAGCCACGGGCCAACGGTCCTACCACGATTCACGGGTCACATATTACTACAGAGCCGCGGGCCCGCAGCGACTCACAGCACGATTCCAAGCGCGAACAAGATTATGGTTTCCTACTGGATTTCTTTCCCTCCCCCGGTCGAATCACCCCAATCCCCCGGTCCCCGCCCCCCAAGCAAAAAAAAACTCTGTGAGCTGGGGTGGGGCGTGGGCGCGTGGGCGCGTGTTGGCCTGACGGCTGACAGATACTGACAGGCTGACACCTGATGGCTGATGGTGACAATTTTATAATTTGTTGTTATTTTACTAAAATAATTTATAATAAAAAACAATTCGAATGCTGAAGATGTATTTAGAGGGGGTTTTTTTTAGAAGGCTATGTACATAGATATGGTGTTTGTTTTTAGAAGAAGGCTATGTATGGCTATGGTAAAGATTGGTAAGTTTTTTTTTAAACAAAATATTAGTGATTATTTAGCCCTTTCAGTCCTCGACGGCTCTCAACCAGACCAAGAGTGTGGGCTCAGGGCTGCGTGGCTCAGCGGTTATTTAGCCCCTGCTTTTAAAGTAGCTCAGGTCTCTTTACACTCCTGGGTCTGGCTGGCCTGGATGCTATTTAAAAAAAAGGTTCCTATTTAGTCCTCAGTCCTCACTCCCTCCTCACTCCTCACATCTTCACTCTCCACTGTCCTCAGCCGTTAGACCTAAGTCCTAAGACTCAGACGCAGTACAGCTCAAACTCGGACCTTTTTATTGTGGTACAATAAGGTACATACATAGACTCGATATTTGTTTTTAAAAAATGTGTCTTTTCCTGTGTGTTGTGCTTGGATCTCTCTCTCTCTGGAGTCTGGGGTAGGGAACCGACTAGCGCGAGGTAGAAACCCTCGACACAATATTTTACTGGGTTGCCCCCGGCACCCCGGGCCCCCACGGCCCACTGCCTAATGTGTTTTTTTTTAAGTTGAAAGTTGGAACTGTACCTCAAGCCCTATAAAAAAATACCGGATTGTCTGAGTTCTGGACTTCGTTCTGACACAATATAATTATTTTTTCGAAACGATATTCTATTGGTTTACTGAACGCTAATAAAATTCTG